TTCTAACCTAAAAACAGGATCAACATATTGCAAATGGTTAATGCCTACTTGTGAGCAAGCTGCAACAGCATGCATACATGGAAACTTTTCTGCTTGAAATTCTCCACAATCACATTTTCTATCAATCAAGTTAACCTTGCAACAACGACGAAATTGACGAAGTTGAATATTGTATGGCTCCATAACCTCAAATGATGTTGATATTCTATCAAACTCTCGAATAACACATCCAGATGCACCTTGTGTTACTATGTCTAACTTCTTTGTTAGTGTCTCAGAAAACACTTGACCAGCTGCAATTTGCGCATGAACTTGTTGGGCACGCTCTATACATGGTTTTGTAAAGTGTGCCCAACAAGTTCATGCGCAAATTGCAGCTGGTCAAGTGTTTTCTGAGACACTAACAAAGAAGTTAGACATAGTAACACAAGGTGCATCTGGATGTGTTATTCGAGAGTTTGATAGAATATCAACATCATTTGAGGTTATGGAGCCATACAATATTCAACTTCGTCAATTTCGTCGTTGTTGCAAGGTTAACTTGATTGATAGAAAATGTGATTGTGGAAAAATTTCAAGCAGAAAAGTTTCCATGTATGCATGCTGTTGCAGCTTGCTCACAAGTAGGCATTAACCATTTGCAATATGTTGATCCTGTTTTTAGGTTAGAATACGAAAGCTGAAAACGCATGGAGTGCAAGACAAATAGTGGGTCCCACTGAAGTTGTTCAGACCAAGAACAACTTCCATTTTGTGATGTGGGTCCCACTGAAGTTGTTTAGACTAAGAACAACTTTCATATTTTGGATGTGGGTCCCACTGAAGTCGTTTTTGGCTTGAACAACTTCTGTACAAATTTAAACTCGTTCACTGTCTGAACGATTTCAAGTGTAGTATCTGAGTAAATATTTTTGATCTTATAGCATCTGAGTAAATACTTTTACTGTTTGTCGTGTCTGGATAAAAAAGCCCTTGGTAGTGACTAAATAGGACGAGAAAAAAAGAGTTTGTGTGCAGTTTCTTTTGACCTTTGTTTCCCCTGGTCACTAGTTTGTATTCAGTTTATTTTTTTTAAAAAAAAATTCAAGACCTCACGTAAGGCGTCGAATCATCCAGGTCTCCTTGATTATTTAATCCTGCTTCCAGTACTTACTAAAAAAAACTTATTAACTAATTTAAGTAAATAATAAAAAGTAATTAAGTTAATTATTTGTAATAAACAGTATTATTTTTTTTAAATATCCTTATTAATTAAAGAAAAAATCTCAAAAAAACCCTTAGAATATACGAAATTCCTGCTTGGATTCTGAAATTGTGCAAATGACAGAAAGGGCTGATGACCCAATCTATCATTTGTAAAATTAAAAGGAATTGCCAATTTTGTCCTGGCTAAGCAAAAGCGAGTAATTATTTTCTAAATGAATCTAGGTAACACTTACACTGTTTTATTGATTGCATGATTAGTTGTAGTTAAGAATAAGGTACCTGACTACGAAAAAGTGAGTGGTTATTATCTACACGAATTGAGATAACATTTATATTGTTTTGGTGATTACATGATTAGTTATAGTTAATAACAAGGCACCTGACTATGAAAAATTGAGTAGTTATTTTCTACATGAATTTAGATAATACCTAAACCCTTATAATGATTCCTTAAATCATTGAATAAATACAAATAAGAGTAAAGTTGTCAATTTTTTTTGATTTTACAAATGACAGATTGAGTCATTGATCATTTCTGTCATTTACACAATTCCAAAACTCAATCTGAAATTCCTTATATTCTAAGAGTTTTTTTAGGATTTTCTCCTAATTAAATGTGTTAGATAAAATTATCATCTCTATAAAGACTATTTTAAAAAAGATAGATAAATATAAAAGTAAAATGGATTAAAATGTTATATTTAAAATACAAATAAAAATTAAATTAATTTTTTTATTAAAATTAAAAAGAAGTACCATGTGAAAAGAATCACAAAGCAAGGACAAACGACTCAGAAGTCACTGGAACATGATATGATCTTCCCTTTTGGCTTGTTCAGTGTCCCTTGTCAAGTCAGAATCTAACCTTTTGCTTTAATCACCCCAACATTCATAACCCTCCGCAGCCTCATCACTCAGATCTGGCAATTTCTTTTGTAATAAAAAAATAGCAAGGAACAACACGCTCATATAAAACTAATTAATATCAATCAATATAATATTGTCATTTTTATGAAGCTTTATCCTCACGTGATCCACCCAATTCATTTTGTATAAAAAGAGTGTTAGGGTGAAACCAAATCATATGTTTTGAAAAAAATAAATTTTATAAACAGATTTTAGAAGAATAAATTTTGAGAATAAATTTTGAAAAAAATGATTTTCATAAAGTAAGAATGGTTGGATGGTTATGATAATTAGATGAAAGATAGATTTTAATTTATTTTTTTGTTTGAAATAATAAATTTGTAAATGATAAATGATATATGAAAAAATATAATTAACTAATATTATCTCCGATCTTTAGTATAAGAGCTAATTGGGTGTTCAATTTAATTTTGAATATAAAGCATCAATTTACCTTATCTTACATGTTTATTCATTTTTTTAAAAGTAATCCTTGTGTTAATTTGCACATATTAAAGTTTTTATCAAATAATAAAACCAATGCACATCATTAACAAGTATTTTAGAGAACGTAACACGTATTTATTATAAATAAATAATTTAACTATTTTTTTAATATTGACAAATTAGTTATCTAGCTTTTATATTAAATATCAAAAACAGTAATTGATATGTATATGTATTTTTATATCTCAAAGCATGGTTTTATGCCTTCAAAAGCAAAAAGAAAATTTACTTTATGAAAAACCATGGTTTTCAAATAAGAAGTGATTTTGTAAAAAAATTATGGTGTTTGGTTACTCTTATTCAAATCATGATTTCAAATTCAAAAGTGATTTTGAAAAAAAATATGGTGTTTAAAAGTAAAAGTATTTTTAGGGTATACAAGTAAATATGTGAAGAAGTTTGTCTTGATTTACAAAAATACTTTTTCAGCAATCCAAATACCTCATAGATGAATTTTTCTCAAAAACCATAATTTCAGAAGTACTTTTACGGTATACGAAGTAAATATATGGAGGAATTTGTTTCGATTTACGGAAAAGTGTTTCTGAAAAGCATTTCTGTGGTTAGCCAAACACCCCCTAAGAAGGTGTTTGGATGAAACCAAATCATGATTTGGAGAATAGCTTCTGGAGAATAGATTTTTAGGAGAATAGATTTTATAAAAAAGTGATTTTGATAAAATGAGAGTGTTTGGATAGTTGTTATCAGAAACACTTTTTATATGTATAAATTACCAAAAAAAGTATAAGTTAATATGATAATAATATAAAAAATAGATTTTATAATATATTTTAATTCGAAAGAATAAAATTGTTAATAATATATATTTTTTACCAACATAAATAATAATATATAAGATAATGTAATTAATAAATAATTAATATGTGTATATATATTTATAAAATATAAAATTAAATATATTTATAAAAAAATAATTGAAGAGTGTTAAACCATATTATTGTTAAGATCTACTCTAATAGGAACAATCATACTCTCCAATTTGAGTCAAGAGCAGAATGGATTCACTTCCTCTGAAATCATGGTTTTAAGCCCAAAATCACGGTTTGTTAATTTTTCTATCTGCTTGACAAATCTGGGACCCAAAACTAATATAATGTTGAGTTCCAAAACCATGGTTTTTTATGTTATCCAAATAGGTCCAATGCAGCCATATTACCAAAAGAGGTTTTGTACCTTGTGCAAAATAATTTCCCCAATTATACGTAGCAAATTATATTTATATAAAAAGTTTATAACCTATCGTACTATTTACAACCTATGAAATATGTGATTTGCTTATCAAGTTTCTTGCAATGCACAAAATTTATAATGTAAAATCCTATATCTTGTTAGTTTTTTTGGGGGGGGGGGGTAAACAGTGAAATTAAAGCAGCAAAACGGAAACAAAACAACAAACTATCTGGTCAATTTATTTTATACTTTGATTTATTAAAGAGTATTTACATAGTACTTACAAATTACCTACCAATAAGGTTCTTACATTAACAGCAAAATTCAAACTCAATACGTTGTGGGTTATGAGTCGACTCTTTACAATCTGAACCAATTCTTATTAATAGTTTAGGTCATTTCTATTATTATTATTTTTTTGGCCAAAGCATAAGGATCTTCTCATTGAAAGTAACCCTATTCAAGATACTATTAGACATTAAATATGGACATCTCTACTAACTAGGATCTTGATTTGTCATGTTGTGAGAGACTAATCTTTTTTACTTGACTTAATCCTGTTAGTGGTTATTTCTATGATTTCATCATGGTAATGGGAACTAACAATATCCAGAACTCTAAGCCCAACACCCTTGCCCACTTTCTCGACCCACTGGGCTTTCTCTGGGCACTCCGCATTTTGTTGAGCTGTCAAGGCAAAAGCGAGGAGAAACCCCAACACCCTTCCCCCGGGGTCCGTAAAAATGACTCAATGGTCAGTACAACTTTTTTCTTCACTTTGTTCTGCTTGTCGGAGGTTGCTCATGGAATGGGCCGGGCCTACATGTCTCTCCCTTCCCTCGCCGTGCCATTTATTCTGTCTTTGCAGTCGTTGAGTTGGTTTCATCATCATCGCCATGACCTGATCTCTTCCATTTGCTTAATTGCTTCCCACTTAGGATCGGAAATGTATCTCCTTGCATCGTAACGAGAGAGATTCTCTCTCACTTCCACACACCAAGCAAGCGATTAAGTCCCTTCCAGTCATCACTGATCATCACAATGCCTAAGTCAATTGCGACTTTTTGGTCCTTCTGTTGGGTCCCAATCTCAAGCATGCTTCCTTCTTTGTTGAAAGTTTGCATCATTGGAATCATAACAAATAAAGACCCTCCATTACTGCTTTTTTCATAATCAACAAAACTTGATTCAACCCTTCCACATTCTTCTTTAAGCTTTGGAGTTTAATGGGATCTAACATGAGCTGGCATTTGTTCGTCTCCTCGGCCCTCAATTTGCTTTTCTGTTCTCTTGCACACAGCTCGGCGGAATCTGCCACGCAATCGTTGAACTCTTTTGTTCAAGAATATGCTTACAGAACGGTGCTCAAACACCGGCCTCATACGGGTGCTCTATACGATGCTATGCTTCCCCAGAATCTGTCAGGTATGGATGTTTCAGTGGTTCGTCTTCGGAGCCGAAGACTGTGGAAGAGAGGAGCTAATTTCAGCTACTTTCAAATCCCACCAAAGACCATCACCATTCCCCACGTCAGAAGATTGGCCATTGTGTATCAAAACTTAGGCAATTGGTCCTCTCATTACTACAATTTGCCAGGTTACTCACTCGTCACTTCTGTGGTGGGTTTCGTCGCTTTTGATGCCTCTAATGTTTCAGATTTAAGTATCAGAAATCTGACTCTCACCACCACGGGGCAACCCATATCTGTTCAGTTCCCAAATACTACTTTCTTGGCTGGTGTGAAGTCGAGGGCAAGATGTGTAACTTTCAGTGCCAATGGAACATTTTATATTAGTGAGATGATGAACCAGAATGTGTGTCACTCCAGAGAGGAGGGTCACTTCACAATTGTTGTTCCATTGGAGAGAAAACGGCGACGATGGTATTTGTGGGTGATTGGTTCTGTGGTTGGATTCTTGGTTTTGATTTGGGTGATGACTTATGTGGGAATTTCATCGATGAGGCTTTTGAAGGCTAAGAGGATTAGGGCTATGGAGAGACAGGCCGATGAAGATTTGGTTCTTCAGAGTAGGTGGGTGGGAACTAGCAAAATGCCATCAGCAGCTGTGACTAGAACTCAACCAGTTCTTGAGTGCAATGTTCCCTAGTTCTTTGCGTTTTTTTCTTTTTTAAACTGTCACAGAGCTAATTTTTCTTCTTGTAACTGCATAACTTGATTTGCTTTTCTGGGCAATTAAGAATCTGCTCTCTATTTTGGCCAAAATGAGCAAATGATTAAGTGCAAAAATGTGGTTCCGTGGTTGATTATTATTAGTGCCGTAAACTCCGGATAATCAGTAGCCTGAAACACGGACGGATCCAGGATTCAAGTTTGGGAGGAGGGAGATTTGTGGGGGAAAAGGTAGTCTTGAAAAACATATGTAAAATATTCTTAAAGTTAAATTTAATTTCGTTCATATTATAAAATTAACCAATAAAAATTTATATTAAGCCTTTTTTTTTTAAAAAAAGATGCCCTTTAAATAAACTAATACCACCTCCCTTTCTTAACATAATATAAGAACTTGTTAGACTAATTTAATTAGATTAAGAAAGATTTCTAACGTAGTTATTTTTAATAAATAAACGTTATCTTTCTTGGAGTATCATTGCTAATCATGTATATTAGTTAAAACTACCAATTGATCGAATTTTTAAAATATACAATTACTATAGAAATTATTTTTGAAAAAATAGATAAATATGAGAGACAAAATAATGTATTTGCAACTAAATTAAATGTTGAACTAGTTATTATATTAAAGACTAGAAATAGTATGTAGTTTGCAAGAAATTGTGGTCAATTTTATTTTTCGATTTCGGATTGTTTACAATTGAAAATGCAACATTTTATTTATTGTATTCATTAAAATATACAAGAAGAGAAAAGAAAAGGAGAAACATTTTGAATTATAAAAAATATGATTTATTTTATTATGCCACCTAATCATGGCATAAAAAATTAAATACAAATTAACGCTTTTATCCTCAAAGATAAAAGAAAATACAAATACACAAAATGATTACTAGAAACCAAAGGTCATAAACATGCAAAAGATACAAATACACAAAATGATTACTAGAAACCAAAGGCCGAGATAAGAGTGTTGAAGCTTCCCAAGTTATGAATACCCAAGGAGACAAAATTTGAAGAGCAAATTCGCGAAAGGTACTTCGGGAATAGAAAGGGAAAGATACAAGTCTAGAAACTTGAAAGAGAAAGCAGAGCAAACTAGGTCCGGGTATTAAGCCAATGGATCTTGTGGGATCTTGGCCAACCATATCTGCATACTGAAACAATTCCGCAAAGATAAAACATTAAAACATAACTGAGTGACATTTGTGTGTGTGTGTGTGTGGGGGGGGGGGAGAGAGAGAGAGAGCAGCATGCATCCCAGGATGTACTGATTCGCATCTTTTCTTCACACTGCCTAGTTTTGCAAAACCGTTTCTATTGCAAATTCAAGGTCCGCTGCCAAACTAACCAACATAGCATCCAAAAGCCGGCTTCTCAACCCTATATAGAAAACACCGCTCGAATAGTACACCCTCCTTACCTAATCCTCGCCAAATCACCCAAATCTAGATTCCAACCTTTTCCCATCACTTGAACTTGGTGGATTTATTCTGAGCATAGCCACAGATCTTCTGGGCATATTAAAGCTAGGCTCATGTATACTTTTTCGATCACTTCTTATTGCTTTGTTACTTTCAATATGGGGAGTTCCTAATGGAAATTACATGCAATATCGTCAAGCAATATGGGAGATGCAGGGAGCATGGCAGCGTTCTGGTATAATAAATAACGAAGGAACAAATATGTTTTCAACTCAAATTACCAGACTTACATAATAAAAGAATAATTATTGCTCTCACTAAAGCTAAGTTCAACACATTTTACAACATAATCACCAAGGAAACTTATGCTTAAGCGATGATTTATTACCGAAAATCCAAGAAATTCGTGTCTAGCCACCACATACCAAAATGAACAAATCTAAAACAACCGAAGTCGATGATGCTTATAAGAATACATGGGCACTGGCACGACAGATGCTTTTGGTTCAAAATAAATAATAAAGGGGCAGCTACAGTACAACCAAAGACTTCAAGCGACAACTTGTCCAAAGAGCTGCTTGCGGATCTGCAATACAGAAAAGAAATCTTCATCAGGACTCGGTCACAGCAGACGAGGTTAACAATGTCATCTGATACATACAAGTGTTATTAAATGCTTCAAGACCCCCACATCAACTAAATATACCTTCCAAAACAGGAAAAAAATTCCTAAGAGATACGTGATTTCTTAATACATGATACACAACAGAGTAGTCAATTCTGATTCATGAACATAAAATGACAACAAAATATAATAAACACGCCAAAGGAAGTCAGATAGTCATGGTATCTCTCTTTAGACGGAAGAGATAGAGTGCCAGCAACAATCGGTGAAAATGACAGACAACAAGCAATTGAAAATGTGTCATCATCTTCGGCAAAGATAATAATCAGCACTAATAATTGCCATAAATAAAGGAAGTTTCCAGTAACAAGTTGAAATAGATCTTAAAGTTAACATTTCATGGAAAAATATTACCTCTGGAAGCTTTTTACGGAACACCACATCCAGGCGAGCATCAAGGCTATTTTCAAACACAATCTTCCCGTCTCGAGAAGCCAATACTACACCTCCAGAACTGGCCAATGACAAATACAATTAGATCGTCGGAGCTATAAAGGAATCAAAATAAAGGGATCACACTGAAACAACTACAAACACCAGAATCCTGGTTACTTTCAAATAGTTTAAACCTGATGCTTTTTCAACATAACCTGAATGAAACAAAAGATTACAAAGAGGACAGAAGATATTACCACCCCAATGAAAAACAATGAAAGTCCCGCACAGAGGATAGTTTAGTTTATGTGCAAATAAGACTTGAATCCAAAAAAAATTAAGTGGGATTCAACTGTAAGATTACCAGTAGGGTTCATGAGTATTATGATGACCAGGCGCAGGAGGAAGATAGACTTGCTTGTCAACAATTATCTCTGGTGGGTGAACATTTGCTTTATCAGCATACTCCTGTGCAGCTGAATCCAGCACATGCTCCACCAATTTTAGGTCTTCTTTCCGACATCGCAAGAGGACAGAAGGCTCTTTCAGTCTCAGCAAACTCTGCCACAGGCAACACTTCCTTTAAAATCCAAGCCAACATACTTACAGGCGGCAAGTTCTCCATGAAAGTAACATCAGAGCTTACTATGGCATGATTTTTCAAAGATGACATGGACACAGCGGTGTCACAAAGTAAAGCAAAAAATAGTCTCATGATCACACACTGGCATCTTGACACAAATGCAAATAATACATTATCATAAAATTATAATGATGATGATAATGACAACAACAATTTACAGTGATGGTCAAGATATGAAAGTCTACAATTTTTACCTGAACAATGAGATCTTTCAGAAGCTGTCTGTACACATGGGGATTGGGGTGATGACTCACATTCAAGAGGTCCTTCGCTGCAGCTTCCTTCATGGAATTAACCACATCATCTTGCGCTTGAAGAACCTTTATGCGAGAAGCATTTAGCTGCATAGAGTACTCACTGCAATAAAACATTGTCCCATGCATCAATTAACCTCAATCAACACCCTTTTTGCTATTTAGAAATAAGGATAAGGACAGAATCTCAAGGTGGTCTTAATGGTGAAAAATCAAAGTCCTTTCGAGGCCCGGAGCTCTTCAGAGCAATACCCTGAATTTAAATTAATTACACCAAGATACCAACAGTTCAAAATTAATTGAATCTCGAAACTAAACACACATAACGACAAAATCAAAACCAACCGATGAAAATGTTATCTTGCTGATTCTGTCCCAGTCCATATGGATCAAACATTAATCATTAACAGCTTGCTTAAACAATTGTCAACGAAAGAAGTAGGGATGGACAATTTCGAATTCAAGAATAAAGAAGGAAATAGAAAAAGCCCAAGGTATACTGAGATAGAAAGCAAGTTACATCTTTTTCCGAATTTCAACTTGCTTCTGTTTGCGCTCGTATTCTTGTCTGATCTTCTTTTTCTCAGCTTCAACCAACTGTAACTTCTCGATGTTGAATTCCTACACAGACACAGAACAACTCTTCAGCATCGAACCAATGGCGATAACAAGCGGGAAACGTACAACAAACTCTAGATTCACAATGAGTAAACTGCACATAAAACAATAATTGGCAGTTCAAAGGAGTAAACAAAAAGATCGAAGTCCTTAAAAGAAAAAAGCAAAGAGAACAGAGTGGTACTTCTTCAGCAGACACGGCGATCTCGTTGGCTTTCTCCTCAGCTTCCTGGCGGATAAACCTCACCATCTGCTGGATTTGCTTGGAGACATCTGCGTCGTTCATTTTATCAGAGCCTGTGAGAGTCGAATCGGAGAGGATCGGGATTGTACTACTACAGCGGAGACGCAACGCCCTTCTCTTCTCCGATCGCAAATCAGAGAAATTATTTGCGAACGACAACTCCTGTACAGCCTTTATTTATCTGCCTTGCATCAACCGCTGGCGATTTACGGTTTTATCATTTTACTCTGAGACTGAAATTAATTATTGTTTCTTGCGAAACATGCGGACATTTTTTTTTATTAATAATAATTTTTAATTTAATTTTTAGCGTCTAATAGAAAAATCAACATCATTAGCACTAACATTAATATTCGTCGGCAAAAAGAAAAAAAACCTTAATATTATCATTAATCACACTATAACTTACTTAAACCTTCGAATAAGTATTATCACCATATAATTTAATACAAATATTTTGTAATGCTAAGTTATACAAACCTCTAAACTTTCACCTTTGGAATAGAGGTAGGGATGGAAATAGGCCAAGTGGCCTGTCAGGGACTTGTGACCTGGCCTATAAATAGCCTGGCCTGGCCTGGTTTCTTTAGATATCAGACCAGGCTCAGGCCTGTAAAAGGCCTGTTTACTTTATCAAGCCAGGCTCAAGCTTGATAGTAAGCCTGTTAGGCCTGTCAGGCCGCCTGGGCTTGTTATCTTCTTTTTTTTTAATGTTAAAATTACAAATTGATAGGAGGGAATCTGCTATTCTGATTGGTTAATTAAGAAAACTCCATTCACATAAACGTGTTATTTAGAGCCTATTGCATGCTTTATTTCATTTCCATTCTCTATAATAAAAATAATTGATGCATGTATAATGACACATATTTGAATAGAGAAAGAAAATATAAGTGCATTAAAAAAAATAAAAGCATTATTTATTTATTTGATCCATGCTTTTCATATTAATCTTATATAGAATATATATATATATATATATAGAATTGACCTATTATGTTTTAGACCATATATATGTGTGCTCAATCTAATTCTTATTATAATAGTTACTTAATTAATTTAAATAAATAAATAAATTATAATAACTGTAACATTTTTTTTAAAACAACCATGTGTAACAACATGATCAAATATCATTTTGTTAGTAAATTAGTTTGAATAAATGATAAATTTAAAATATAAAAGGAATTAAGGATGTTTCATATTTTAAACTAGATCTAGTCATCAACTAATTTTTATACTAGAGATGGGATGAAGTGATATTTTTATATCAAAATGAAATTATGTTTTCTAATAATTTTTCATATTAGATATTTTTTTTGGACATAAGAGGATATGTTTTACAAATTGTGTTAATTTGATAATTTCATATTTTTTGTTTGTATTTTAGATCAATTAGGTTGAATTATTGTAATTTTGAATTAATTTATGTGTGTTTAAAATTTGTTTAAAAAAAAAAGGCTTCTTAACAGGCTACAGGCCAGGCTCAGGCCGATTAAAAGGCCTTTTACAGGCCACAGGCCAGGCCAGGCCTGTTTCCACCCCTAAATAGAGGTGAGAATCATGGCTGATCCTTCAGGACTGGCGGGTTTAAAAGAGCCAGCCCTCTAAGATTGAAATTTCAAAAATACTCTAATTTACTAGGTTCGGCCCTTAAGTTACAGAGCTTAGGACCAACCCGCGAGCTTTTGACCAATTTAAAAAAAAAAATTCTTAATATTTCTCATATTTTTTATACAAAAATAAAAATAAACCAATGAAATTGTTAATAAAAGATATAAATATGAATAAAATTAAGTCATAAATACAAAATATCATCATATATAAATATCCATTAACATCCAAGAACATCTAAAATATTCATTAACAAGATAACAACATCCAAAAGTTTTATTTATAGTGCAATTGTGCAATAAATAAACACTATCATTAATCTTTTGAAACTTCATCATCACCGTAATCAATTACTCTTCTTCATAAGTATGATTTTCTTTCGTAACAGAAATATCAAATTTTTCTTCTTTGTAGGAATTTTACTTTTAAATTTTGTAATCTAGCTATTATTTTACTTTAATGTGAGAAATATTGTTGTTAAAACTCGTGAATTTATAATTCAAATTATAGAATCACAAGTTATATAAGTATAAAAATACTCTATTATCAAATATATATATATATATAGTTTAAAAATATCAATGCATATAATATAAATCAAATTATTATTAAAGTTCAAATTAACCCATTTTTTAAAAATTTAATTGGATAACTTATTGCCTAAAACTAAATAAATCAAATCATTATGTAAAATTTAATTTTAAAATGATAATAATAACTAAATATTTGAAATATTATTAACAATATAAAAAATTAATAATATTAAAATTATATAAAAAATTTTTAAAAAAACAAAAAAGAAATATAAAAGGGCCTAAACAGGCCGACTCTGGTCCTCCAGGGCTTTTTTTCATTTGAGGGGAAAAATTTCAAGCCCGGCCCTAATAATTTCAGGGCCTAAACTGGCCAACTCGACGGGCTCAACTCGTTTCCCTTGCTCTACTCTGGAATGACAATTGTTAAAAAATCTAGTCATATTAATATGCTTACAACTAGTTAAAACGTCAAATTAATTAGCTCAATGCGTAGCTTTATGTATCTAATTATTATAAGGATTAATACAAATTTTGGTCCCTCAAATTTGGACCTAATTTGGTATTAGTCCATGAAATTTAAAACATGTGATATTGGTCCCTCAAATTATGTCCATTTTAGACCGTTGGTCTCTGACATTTTGGCACCGTTAATTGATGAGTTGGCATGTGGGTGACATATAACCTGGACATAGTATTGGTCCCTCAAATTTGGGGCAATTTTGGTATTGGTCCCTGAAATTTAAAACCAATAGTATTGGTCCCTCAAATTATATCTATATTTCTAGCCGTTGGTCCCTAATAGCTGTAGGCCCTCCTCTTTTTATCTGTTCTTGTAGAACCCTCTGCTTTGATCTTATCTAGTCTCAGTGGCTTGCTGGTCGTGCCTGCCTTCTTGTTGGAGTTGCCGGTGAGGTTTTTGTTGCTTCTTCTCAAGCTTTTTACTCTGGTGACGGGTTTCTCTTTTTTCTTGGGAGGTTCATCATCATCTGTATCAGAAGAAGATGGCTTCAATGGGAGTGGTTTTGTATCTGAAGTCGGCTTCTTCTTCTCATGAATTGTTAAGTCACCCTTTTGGCCAAAGGTAGCAGAGGAGGTAGAAGGTTTAGTTGAGAATGCACTGCGTTTCCTCCACACTAATATAGGAGCAGAAGCTGTGTTTTGACAAAAGTGAATCCCAGATTGCATAAGGTCTCTTCGACCACAGCCTTCCGTTGCTCATGCCACATCATCAAGCTTTAGTTGCCAAGTCAAATGCCATATCATAGGTTAACAAAGTTAGTGCCAACTCAGACGAATTTGACAGCCTAAAGCTATCAAGGACCAATGGCCAGAAACAGATATAATTTGAGAGACTAATACCATCGGTTTTAAATTTAAGGGACCAATATCAAAATGGTCTCAAATTTGAGGGACCAATACCATATCCAGGTCATATGCCAGCTACATGCCAACTCATTGGTTAACGGTGTTAACGCCATGTCAGCAAAATTTAACTGTGCCAAGATGCAAGGGACCAACAGTCTAAAACGGACATAATTTGAGGGAACTAATATCAAATTGGGTCCAAATCTGAGAGATCAAAATTTGTATTAATCCTTATTATAATTATAAGGAATGTTCTTAAAATGCTAAAAAGTATTCGGGAATTTTTTAAGAAAAATTAGATAGATTGCATCGATGCGGGGATATTCTGTACCCAAAAAAAAAAAGAGAGAGAGGAACTTTTCAGACTTGAAACTTGAGAATCGTCACACCGATTTTTTCCCCCTCCCGATGAGCATCTATGCTGCCTCCCAATAGGCTGGTCGTTTCTGAAGCTTCAGTTGAAACCGATAAATCCTATTGATAATCAAGTTGGTAACAACGTCTTCGGAGTTCACATATCAAGGTCCAGAATTCGGTTTCTTCATCTGTCAGTTTCGGTTGCCCTTCAAGATCTGAGAAATTGTAAAGTTGTAGCTGCAGAGGAACTTTGATGACGATTTTCTGACGTTTATTTTCGGACTTCATCTTGAAGAGCAAATGCCTAGCCGGCGATTTGGTTATTCTTTTGGATCTCGAATCTCCGCTTCGTTGCTGGCTATGATAGCCACCATGGCTACTATTTACGTGGCCGGCCGGTCAGTTTTTTCTCTAATCATAACTGACACTTTCTTCATCATACGTCCTTTGAATGTTTATTTTGGACTGCAACTGTTTATAACATAACAAAATTTTGATACATTTGAAATGTACAGGCTATGGCAGGACGCGGAGAACAGGTGTATTTTTTTTTTTTTGGATTTCTCCATCCGGTATTCCAGGGAAATAGGCGTCTTTCAGCCGTGACAACGTCTCCAGACTAATCCGGATCGAAGGCATGTAAGGAACCTTTCGGTCGGCGCCCTCTGGTCCCTCAGGGTGTTGCATTCTCACGGCTCGAACTCGAGACCCGTGGTTAAGTTAGGACAGCCCCAGCCAGCTGACCTAACCCCTCAGGGTTTAGAACAGGTGTATTTTTACTTCAAAAGCTTGATAAAGGAACTGGTCAGGTACAATATCACTTAAATTAATCGTACTCTTGTCATACGGTTCATATATGAGTAGTTAGCTCAATATATATGCGTCTGTGCGTGCGATTACGAGCGTGTATTTTTAATTTATAATTATCATCCATAGGAAAATCAATGAGGCAGTATGCTTCATCCGAATTCAGGGTCATTCTGCCATATCCGTTGATGATAACCTTAAAGTTATAACCTGCAGGTAATTTTTGCTTGGAGCCAATGTCTCCATCCTCTCTCTACATTGAATTGCCTCTGTAGTTATTACATATATGAATTTGGGTTGAAGTTTCACCATGGCAGAGATTGGCCTGAGGCCTTAGGTTACATACTTTTTTTTGGCCAAACATTGGGTACATACTCACTATTCCTTATTTATAACGAACACCAGAAGATGTTACCCTCCCTTGAGATGGAACTAGCGGCAGCTAGAAAGGAAGGCTTTATTTCAAAGCGCTAATTAGTAAATGATGG